TCTCTCTCTCTCTCTCTCTCTCTCTCTCTCTCTCTCTCTCTCTCTCTCTCTCTCTCGATAGTCAGGACCAAGAAGGCCAAGAATGATATTTCCTTGCAACTTTTCTCTCAACCTCTTGAGTTTTCCTATCTCCACCAGTGCTGTCTTATAAGTGAATTGTTAGTCATTGCTGGCGAGGATGAGTCCTAACTTGGAAATAAGGCATCAAATCACGGATGATTTCACCCCCTTACAAACACTTCGGGGTTCCCTTCTGTATCGTTTTTGGGTCCCCCCCCCCGAGATTAAGTGTCTTTCAACCTCCAAATACAAGGCCCTGGGATCAACCTAAAAGGATTGCTACAAATGCCCCATTGGCCCCGTTTCTGATACATTTTACTTCCAATGTTTTTTAACTATATATCTTAGGCAGTTGTTTGTTCTACTAACATTCTATTGTTAAAGTTTGGTTAAAAAGCAGAAAAACAGTATCCACCAAACACAGGGCAGCTGCACTTTTTTTATAGCTAGCTTAGTCATTTGACAATAAGACTTGCACAGAGTTACATAACATATAGTCTTCTTAAATAAAATGTGTCCTAAGAAAAAGCCTATTGCTTTTTGTCTAGACATACCAGGTGGTCAGTATAAACTCTAATTTGTCCATAGCACTGGAAGTAACATCTGCTTTAACAAATTTTTGTGGTATAATTAGCTTCAGGAAAATGGGCTCATGCTAACTACTGTAAAGTTAAAATGGATTTGTAAACTAGAATGCCACGAGTGTGTTGTGTATACTCATACATTTCTGTACAGACACACAGCAGATAACTTCTGGCAAGGTGTTTCCTCATCAAAGTGAAATTCAAACTCAGAACCAAAATTAGAAATTTACATAGTGAGCATATGACATAATGGTTCATATAGGATATTTCTGTCAACAGTATAGTTAGATGCATTAAATGCCCATGCAGAATCTTTCATTAGAAATTATGATTCAGATAATTCTGACTCTAAATTTCCCTTTTTCAGCATTCATACAACCTATCATTATACTAAAATCAGAATACAGAGCATCCTAATGTGTTATTTACATTCCAGTCCAATTTTTGAATAGTGGTTCACTTCACTGACTGTAGGAATTAGTATGACCTGAATAGCAATTTCCATTTTTTAAGAATTTAAGAATTTTCTGCTCGTGAATCTATTTTTATTCTACTGGCCAGAAGACATGCATATGGTAAAATTCTTCTAAATATGTAATGCTAACACATTATTGACTAAAGTTGAAATATTGCCTAATAAGGAAAAATTCAGTAAATTTATGTGAATCCTGATTGTACAGGAGTTGATACAGCCAGGGATTTAGCTCAGTAGTGCTGCTGCCTGCCTTGCAAGCGCAAGGTCTGGAGTTCTATCCCAGGTACAAAAAAAAAAGGAGTTGATACAGTGGCTTCTTTTCAGCAACTTCTCATGAAAAACTGGATAAAAGTGAACTACATGCTAGGAAACAGTAATTGTGCAATCAGCATGTTTAAAAGTAATGTCTTTCATTGGTATCGCTATATAAATAATTTTGTGGAGAGCTGACAAGAAATAAATAAAGTATGCATTTACTGAGTACCACTTGTTTCCAAACTCACATCTTGCTGTAACATAACAGTAAGTCCCATCTTCCCCACGATATTTAAATTTGCCTTATCTTTCTTCAGGTGTGCTCATCTTTTGCTACAGAGCCCAGACAAAAGGATGGAACACTCTATGAATTTCGTACCTACTATCTTAAATCCTCAAAAATGAATGAGTTCCTGGAAAATTTTAAGAAAAATGTTCATCTTCGGACAGCTCACTCTGAATTGGTTGGATATTGGAGTGTAGAATTTGGAGGCAGAATGAACAAAGTATTTCATATTTGGAAATATGGTACGAGTCATTCCAATTTAAGTGTTCAGTTGAGATTCTCATTTTGTTACAGTTACATGAGACTTACTTTTTCATTTATATTACCATAGATATGTACCAAGTAAATAAAACATTTTTTAAATTATAGTACTAAAAACAAGTTCAGTGCTTAGCCCACATCTAAAAGTGTTAAATTATCATAACTGGGGACTGTGGGGTTAGCTCAGTGGTTCTGCTGCCTGCCTTGCAAGCACAAGTTCCAAAGTTCAATCCCTAGTATCAAAGAAAAAGAAAAATTACCATAACTGGGAAATGTGAATTCTCATGTAACCAATTTCATAATTGTGAACTAGACTTTGATTCTCAAAAACTTTTTTTTTTGTTTATTGGAAAGATAATTTATGAAAAATTTAAAATAATGCTTATGAAAGTCCAAATGGGTTAAGATTAAAAAAATAAAGTATCTTTTTCTTATTAACAAAGCTTGAGCTAGATATCAGCATCTTAATTCAAACATGTAAGGGCTCTAAATAAATAGAGGCTGAGAGGGGTGGACAATTTTTAAGCCTCATTCAACTCTGAGGCTCAACAGTTCTGTTATGTTTAGAAACCAATTTTATTTCAATTCTGTGCACTAGAGTTTCAGTAAATTTGCTGTGATACTGCTCTTGGAGGTAAAGAGAGAGTTCTTTATATATTGAAGCTGACCTATCCCCAGGAAAAGATAAAAAATTACAAGAATCCACAGAATGTTTTTTACTCCAGTGTCCAGGCTTAATAGTCTACATCAGCAATTAATTTCATATAGTGTTTGCTCATCAGTGTCCAAAGTAATATTCATAAAATACTTTATTTTAAAAAATGTTTATCCTATCTATTCATAACATGGGCACATTTTAGGGTTTTCCCCTATCTTAATAGACTAAGCTCTATTAGGACACAACTTATACTTTGTTTTTTTAAGTTAAATCCTACCTATTAGGAAATCCAATGAATTATTGGTGTAACTCATTTAAGCTGTAAAATTGGTGTTATTTTTCATCCTCAACGTAAGTTATATAAAGCTTTTTACTATTACTTTTATGAAATTCTAGTATGGTACTAGGCATTATGTTGGTAAATGTAAATACACTTTTTGGTCATTTAGAAAGAAGAAAATAAACACCAGGGGAAAAGAATAGCTGACCATAGGTAATAACATTATCTCTTTTGAAAGTTATGTTTTCAAAGAAAAGTTTTACCAAATATGTTTTATTTATGTTAACTGTGTTCAAGGTATACCTTAACCACCTACCACTACCAAAGTAAATAGTCTTCCTATAAACTGGCATTATCAGTTAACTGCCTCAATTGAATAAGAATAATACACATACAGTGAGTATTAACTAGGTGCCCAACACAAGGTGCTCTTTTCATGTATTAATTCACTTAATCTTCACATCAACTCTGGAGGCCTATGTGATAATATCTGCATTTCAAAGAATAAGAAACTGACAGAAAGATATAATAACCTACCTTATTCACACAGCTACCTATGAAGTAGTAGAACCTATGAATCCCATTCTAAGATGCTACAATAGTCTTTTGCGTTTTTGTTCCCCTTAAGATCATGAGCAACTTAGGGCATATGTCGAAGTTCTTCACATTGGTATCTCCAAAGACATAGCACAGTGTTGTGCTATGGATGAGTGTTTGTTGATTTAAATGAAATCCAGAGAAATATAGGTAATGTCAAGTTAATTTTTTTTTCTTAATTCTTTCTCCCGTAGATAATTTTGCTCATCGAACTGCAGTCCGGAAAGCATTGGCCAAAGATAAGGAATGGCAAGAACAATTCCTCATTCCAAATTTGGCTCTCATTGATAAACAAGAGAGTGAGATTACTTATTTGGTCCCATGGTGCAAAATAGAAAGGCCTGCAAAAGAAGGTAAGTCTTCCTTTGCAGAAACATGAGTTTTAATGAATAAAGTATACTGAACATCTCAAGTAATAAAAATTAAAGTACTACTAGAAAAAATAACACTATTCTTGTTTTTATAGCAGCATATTGTGATTGTTGAGTAAAATTAAATTGAAGTTATTAATCTACATTTAAAAGAAGAGAATTAATTGAAAATTTTTCCAAACTGAGTTTTTACAGATTGAAAAATGAGTATGTGTATGGAAAAGGTCTGTATGTTCAGCTAAGGTTGAAAATTGCACAATAAGGGCAAGTTTTCTGTGTCGCTATATAAGGGATAGTATATGAAATTGTGTCATAATTTTAAAATATCAACTTTTACATATTTTCCACAAATTTTAACTAATCCAAAATCATAAAATATATCTTTACTTATAAAATTGAGTTTTAGGGAGAATGAATTGAAAACTACTGAAGTATTTTACTGTACTCTGACTTTTGTTCCTTCCTCTTTCTTGCTTCTGTTTGAAAATATTCTTTAAAGCATATCTTATTGCTGATTTCATTTCTTGCTGATTTAAGCTATTACCTCAATCCTGTATTAAACAAAAGTCAGATTTAAAAACTATAAACTAATTTAATTTTATTTTACTTCCCCTCTTCTGAACTTTGTACTGTACTTTTGAATTACACTAGAAAGAAATTTGAAGTCTTACTGAATTCTGTCAGCTTAGATCTCCATTCATCTCTCAGGAGTATCTAAGTAAAATAGTTGTTGGCTCTTTTCCTGTATTATCTATCATTCATGATTCTTGATAACCTTTGCATGTTTACCTCTCAAATCTATTTGTCCCCTAGTTTCTTTCTCTCTCCTGGCCCTATCCATCTATTCAGAAGATAAAATAAATTGCAGGTATGTATTTGGATTTTTAGGGATAACAAGACCATTTCTTCAGGGTTGTGTTTTCAAACTTAGAGGCATTACTTCAGTTTCATTGCTTCCTTATTCTTCCTATTAGAAAACTAAGGGGAAAATTATACAAAGAATCATAAAAATTGGGCAGAAGAGTAAAACTGAAGGAGTTTTTAGTTATGGTGATAGAGATAGAACCAGGGCCTCATACGTTAGTACTCTACCACTGAACTATATGCTCTTGCTCCTGAAAATTTATTTTATTCATTTCTTTTTTAAAAGTATAGACTTAGCTCAAAAATCCTATTTCATTATAGATTCTCCACATTTGTTTTAACAAATTTTTGGATAAAAATATTTTAGATCATAGCTTGCATATATATGTATATATATATATAGTTTTCCATCCTTTTTGTCATCTGTAAAGTTTAATAGTTCTTAAAAATGGGCAAAAATTTTCTAAACATAAATGCAAACAAAAATAGTTCAAATATAATCAATATGTCTATCTAAATATGATCTTCCA